CAATCTTTATCAAACCAAGGCTTTGACTTTAACTTAAAAGGATTAGAGGCTCTCTGATCCCAGTCCTGAAACAGGAGGGGGGCAAATCTTCTAATGAGGCCTTCATACAATGACAAAGGATTCTCATTTTGGCTTATGTTTGAGAAAGCAGCAGCATAATTTTGGATATTTTCTGTTGCCAAAATTGCCTTCAATCGATTGTCTAAATTGCTTGACCACCTAACGGGACGTCTTTGTTGTTCCAGCCCTCTCATTTGGGATGGGTCGTATGTTTCACGACATGGCTCCTGTGGGATAACCGATATGTGGAGGGATAAAGGGAGATGATCACCATCTAAATATGGCAAAATTTTAAAACTCTTAACCTTGGCTAGCAAAGATGTACATACTATGATATAATCTAAAGTACTAGCAGCCACCCCTGACATATAGGTAAAGCCACCAGGGTAGTCACCTGCTATAGAGCCATTTAAAACTTGAAGATTTGTTTTAAACAATAGCTTTATCATGAAATGTACATTTAAAAAGGAACCAGAAATGCTACTTTTGGGACTAAAAATGGAAGAGGTTAATGTATCAAAGAGAACTCTGATGTGGTATATGATAACTACAGCAAGAATGACGTATGCTCAGAATTGGAAACAGCAAGAAGTCCCGAAGATTGAAGATTGGATTAAAAAATTATTATTTTCAGTTGAAATGGACAAACTGACAAGAAAGTTGAATAATATGGAAGCAGAAGATTTCTATAATGACTGGAAGGACCTAAAAGAATATTTAGAAAAGTATTGGGAAGTAAAAGACAATTTGTTTTGTTTTAATAATGATTAATCATAGAATGCTTGGGAGATAGGATAAGTTACAAATTAATTACTGTAGTGAAATAATAGTTACCTAGTGAATTATGAAAAGAAAAGAATGAAAAGAAAATTGTTGTTGTAAAATTAATAAAGAGATGGGCAGGAGGTCGAAGCACTGTGGGAAGCCATATATTAGGAAGGGGAAAAGGGAGGTGGGTAGGGTATGAAAGGGACAAATGTAAAAAATTATGAATGTTTATATCCTAAATAAAAAATGTTTGGCAAAAAAAGAAGAAGAAGAGTTACATGAGATGCATTGCCCTACAATAAAGCCATTCTCAATCGCACACATTCATACTCCGCCCCTCCTCTGGAATTTTCCCAAACAACCTGGCAAATGAGGCATCGAGTTTGACATTAACCATGCTTGATGGATATATTGGCACCAGTGTTTCCTCTAAGCTGAGTTAATGTGAGCTAGTTCACAGTTTTTTCACCTCCAGCTCACAGGTTTTTGTCTTAGCTCGGGAAGGAGGGCTCCAGAGCAAACTAATTTATCCAGTAGCCAAATCGCTTGCTCACAACTTTAATGCCAGTAGCTCACAAAGTAGATTTTTTTCTCACAAGACTCTGCAGCTTAGAGGGAGCATTGATTGGCACCAACAATAACACCAGTGAAGATTAACCAGATTCCCTACTTAACCATAGTTCTCTGCCATGGAAGCTTAACCATGGTTAAAGAAACTAGGTCCAATAGATCTGCACTGGAAATTGAATTGGGGAGTGTAAATATCCTAAAGTAGCCTGAGCATTGGCACTGTAAGCTCGCATTCCATAGTGTTGGAATATAGCGGTGATTTCAGTAAAAAAAAAAAAAGAGGAAAGAAGATCCTGCAGGGGGCAGCAAGCTCTAACTAGACAGGACTGTAGGAGGAGTACCTTCTTTCTAAAATGACTTTTCCTTGTCTGTCTGCAAAATGTTATTTAGTGTAGTAGTTAATTGCATGGACTCTAATCTGGGAGAACCAGGTTTGATTCCCCACTTCTCCACTTGCAGCTGCCAGATGACCTTGGGCAAGCCATAGTTCTGTCAGAGCAGTCCTTGAAAGAACAGCTCTTGGAAGAGCTCTCTCAGCCCTACCTACCTCACAGGGTGTCCGTTGTGGGGAGGGGAAGGGGAAGGAGATTGTAAGCCACTCTAAGACTCCTTCAGGTAGTGAAGGGTGGGGTATAAATCCAATCTCCTCCTCCTCCTCCTTTGGCTTCTTCTTTGGCTTTTGGCTTTTTCTTCTAAAACAGTCTAGAACTCTCTCTCAGCTAGCAAGGCAGCTAGGCTTAATTTCTTTTCCTTCTGCCCAGATTGTTCCATAAATAATGCTTTCTTTACTTTTGATCGTTTCAGTGTCCTGACTGCTGCATAGGCACTCATTTGTTACAAGGGCCAGATCTGGCGTAAATGTCACTTTGTCGGGTGTGTGTGTGTCATGTGTGCCATAAAATGTAATGCCAGGTATGGGAGACATAAACTCTCTAAGGGACACAGACAAACCCAGTTAACAATATTAATTTTTTTACTCAAAATACAAACATGCTTAAAACATTAGTACTCTTACAGTATTTCCTTAAAGTATCTCCCTGATGCACACCCTCCCACTTCCACGGCCCGTTACTCATTAGCACTGGGACAGTATACGGGGACATAATGCACAGCCTCTGTCATCTGCAGGAGTCGTTTTGTAGAAAAAGAGCTAGGGGAACCCATAAGCATAACTCATTAGCATATGCCACACACCCTGACATCACCGGACGTGTTGGGGGCCCGGCGGTGGACCTGCAAGGCCGGTGGGAGCGTGAGGAAGCCCCGCGAAGGCCCCCTATCCCCAACGGTCCCGGCCACCGCCGCTGGCCTTGCGGCTCCACTGCCGAGCCCCATCAGGGTGGTGGACCTGCAAGGCCGGCGGGAGTGCGAGGAAGCCCCGCCAAGGCCCTCCCTGGCCCCAGGCAGGCAGGGGTGGGGAAAGGCGGGGAGGAAGCAACTTACCCTCCCTCTTCTCCTGCCTCCTCCTGGCTGAATGAGGGCCGGAAGCGGGGCAGCCGGAAGCAGGGGGTGGGGCTTCATCATGTGCCCCGCCCCCCGCACCTCACCCGGGGGAACAGCAATCCCCCGCGTTCCCCCCCGAATCGACCTCTGGTCATCTGGCAATAACGAGAATGACCAGTTACTCATGGGCCAGATAAGAGCCCTGGACAGGGCCATATGTTGGACAGCCCTGTGCTAAGAGCAAGGTAGACTCTTGCTCTTTTCTACTGCTACAGACGGATTAATGTGGTTCCCCATCTTGATATATTTGTACAGGACTGGTAATGGTTACCTCTCTGTTTAAAATCAAGCCACTTGTTCAAGAGGAGAATGCAGTTGTCACTCGAAAGCACGAATCATTCGTGCCATATGCCTAATCTGTTGGTTTCGTGATCCACAGTTTGCGTGCCGAGTTCGCCATTGACAGCGCGCCCATCAATCAGCTGCACGGCAGCTCCTCTGCCGAACAAGCGCAAAAGGAGTTAGAGTTCTTCTTCCCAGTGGAGCACACTTTTGCTGTCATTAAACCCTCTGCTCTTGAAGTGCACAAAGGTGAATCATGCAGAGAAGGGGGTTGGGTAAACAGCCCAAGGGGGATTAGTACGGTTGCCAGCCTCCAGGGAGTAGAAATCCAACAACATCATCCATGACAAAAATAACGAAGAGTCAATAAAGACATGTTGCAAAATCATTTACTGTAGTAATTCTGTAGAAAATTCTCTTCTATTATCGCTCACACGCTAACGAATGCTGCACAATGTAAACAATTCATTCCATAATATTGTCTTTATTTGAGCATGTAGCAATCACAATTCTTATCAATTATTACTTATCAACTCTTGAAGGAAACAGTCCATGTTGACTCTCTAATAATAGAACCCAAGGTTTCCTTCAAGAACCCAAAGTTTCCTTCAAGAACCCAAAGTTTCCGAGTTGATAAATAGGAATTGATAAGAATTGTAATTGCTACATGCTCAGATAAAGCAAATATTGTGAAATGAATTGTTTACATTGCACAGCATTTGTTAGGTTGTGAGCAATAATAGAAGAATAATTTCTACAGAATTACTACGGTAAATGATTTTGTAACATATCTTTATTGACTCTTCGTTATTTTTGTCACAGCTGTTGTTGCTGGATTTCTACTTCCTCCCGTGATCTCTCATTTTTGGCTTCAACCTCCAGGGAGTAGCTGGAGGAGAACGCCTGGGATTACGCTGCTCTTCAGGTGACACAGATCCATTCACCTGGAGAAAATAGTCACTTTGGAAGAAGGAATCTGTCATTATACCCCATTGAAGTCCCTCCCCTCCCTCCCCCCACCCCCCCTTAGGCTCCACCCCCAAAATTACCAAGAATTTCCCAACCCAGAACAGGCAAGTCTAGGGATTTGGCTGCACAGAGTAGCAGACACTTTTCATCTGCATTCAAAGTATGTGGGCCTTGATAATAAGCCCAACTTGCGTTCTTTTGGGATAACTGTGGTTAGACGATATGGGAAGAAGACAGAAATGATAAAGAATCAGGCCTGTTCACAATTGCTGATGAACTTTTAGCTTGAGACCAATGAGACCTAGAGATGCCAGAAGACTTAGAGTTGCCAGGACTCCCACTGTGTGGGGAGACCTCCTGCTGGCAAGCCTTGCTGCCTTCTGCCACACCAAGTGACGGTGGGAGGAAAATAAAAATGCTGGTATCATGCACAGTATACCATTACTTCTCGGGGGGGGGGGGGCCGAGTTGATACCACAAGTAATGGTATACTGTGCATGATATGGTTTACCATAGAGTCTCCAGCAATTCCTTGAGCAATGTGACATCACTTCCAGTTTCCTCTGGAAGTGACACCATGGTGCATGTGCTACCAGTGCTCCCTCTTGCCGTGCCCCCCAGGCTTCTGGCAGTTGCCGGACAACCATGAAATGACTTGCAAATAATGTGTCCATATTGAACATGAAGAGCTCATGCTGCTCTTTTTGGGGAGAAGGTCAACGGGTGGTCTAAAGTGACTGATCTGTTTGCAATTTCAAACAAAATGCATTTCATGCCTACATGCTGCTTTTGTGCTTGCATCGTGAGAGGGATTCCTCATTCATCACACTGGAAAGCCAGCTGGTAGCCATTACTGGGGCATGCTGCGAGCATGGCTCAGCTGTGTAACCCCTTCCTGTCTCCTCGCTGATATCTTCCTGAAACACAGAAACTGCTCTGGAGTGCTTTCACTCCAGTCCTCCCTGATGCTTGTAGCTCCTACCTTGCGGGGAACCTCCTTGGTAGGGTTCCATCTACACATTGCAAAGTCCTTGTGTTTATGTGAGGACTTGGTACAACATGTAAAATGGGAGTTCTGAACCTCCCAGATGCAGACTGGCTCTTCTCTGGTTTCAACTTTTATAACCAGATATCCTCATTTGTCATTCCTTTCTCTCTTAGATGAAATTATAGGTCAGGTAAAAGAAGCTGGATTTATCATATCTGAAATGCAAGAAACATGCATCACTCCTGAAATGGCAGCACAGTTTTATAAAGCTCATGAAGGGCAGCCCTTTTATCAGCATCTTGTGGACTACATGAGCAAGTAAGTGCCTGGTTTTCAAAGTGAAGTATGCAAGGAATGCAACAGGTCTGACTCCTCACTTACTCCACAGGTTCTGGTGTTAGAACCTTTCGAATTACTAGAGCACATTATTTAAAAAAAAAATATGAGGAGCCAGTCTGGCCCAAAACTGAGGAACCGTAATCTCTATCCAAAAGTCTTTGGCTATAGTAAATGTTATCTCTGTGTAAGTATATTATTAGAAATTTCTATTTCATCATGCATGTGTGCATGGACATCTTCTTAGCCCTTATCAGTCTTATATCCATGTGTCATGGAAGCCTCCCAGTCATGCATAGATACACATGGTCAGTACGTTGACTGAATGGGGAAACATTCATGTTTTGCGTGTGTGGACAGCTTCAATATGCACAAACCAGCCAATGGTTTTTCCAGGTTTTTCTATAACAGTGCAATCCTAAAATTAGTTTATGTGTTTCAGAGTTGTATGTGCATGCATGCAAAACACATGCATTCTCATGTAGGCAGCATGGTGACCACACATATTGTTAGTAAAGCACATTCCTGATATATGTGGCTCCCAGCCTCCCAGTACATATGCATGAAACATCAATAAAGGGCTCCTGTCTTTACTGCAATCCCCCCACAGTGTCAGGTGACTTTACAGTATTAAAACTGCAGGTGCAGTCATGCAGGAAAGGTGGCAGAGAAATGGACGATCAGATTACAAAACAATTATTTACAGGTTTCCCGGGTTTTGCTCCAATTTTTCCCGAACCTGCTTTGCTCTGATCTTTCTTGAAGAATCATAATCCAAACACATTTGCAGGCCGTGTGGACAGAAAGATGCACATTTTCAAACCTCCTACCCACAATGCTTCCATTTTACAGCTGTCACCCCCTTGTGGGGATTAGGCCACCATTTCTTTAACCGTATCACCAGAGGTCTTTTTAAAAAGTTATAGTTGCTATATCGCTACAGTGCTATAATGCTATAGCAATATCACTGCTATTGTTTTTTTAAAAAAGCCAGCAAAAAGCCCTCCAGGGGCATGGGCGGGGGCAATCACAAGCGGGTGACAGAGGAAAGTGCAGAGGAGTGTGGAGGCGCCTTTGCCACTGATTGATCCTGCGTTGGTTCTGCATTCAGGGCCATAATGAATCCACAACAGAGAATCAAAATCAAGTGGATGCTGCCTTCAACAATTGGGGGAAAGGAGAGACTGGGGGTACAGCAAGGCAAAATGTGGGGAAACTGAGAACAACTCTCCTATACACTATGAGTCCTTTGTGGTTGTCATGGAAGCCATTACGTTAGAATAGTCTGCTACAGAATATCAGAATAGTCTCATGTATTAGGGGTCTGATTGTATTGTGGCAACCCGTTATCAAAGGCAACATACTCAAACCCTGTTTGTCTTGCTCAAAATGTCCCCTTAGTTATGCTGGCATGAATAACTATGCTCTTAGCATTTGTTTAGTCTGTTATCATTTATCTGCATTGCTTCTTCATATGACTTGAATTTCCAGAGGCCCGTCCATGGTGATGATTCTAACCAAAGAAAACGCTGTGGAGGACTGGCGGAAGTTAATGGGGCCAACAGATCCAGAACGAGCCAAACAGATCGATCCCAATTCATTACGTGCTCGATTTGCTAAAGATATTTTGAGCAATGCCGTTCATGGATCATCCAATCCAGACCACGCATTAAAAAGCATTGAGTTTGTCTTTGGAGATATTGATCTGGAGAGCCTCAAGAACAAATACGTATATGTGTAACAGAATTTCCAAGAGAGTGTGTTATCGGCAATGAGTGCCAGACAAAGAAAATAAAGTTAGATTTGTCTCTGTGTGGAATGTTGTTGTTCAGTCGCACAGTCGAGTCCGACTCTTCGGGACCCCATGGACCAGCTCCCGCCAGGCCCTCCTGTCTCCTGCTGTCCTCTGAAGTTGGCTCAATTTCATGTTCGTTGCGTCGATGACACTGTCCAACCATCTCATCCTTTGCCGTCCCCATCTTCTTTGACCTTCAATTTTCCCCAGCATCAGGGTCTTCTCCAGTGAGTGCTCCCTTCTCATTTGGTGGCCAAAGTATTTGAGCTTCAGTTTCATTATCTGGCCTTCCAGGGAACAGTCAGGGTTCATTTCTTTTAGGATTGACTGATTTGATCTTCTTGCAGTCCAAGGGACTCTCAAGAGTCTTCTCCAGCACCATAGTTCAAAAGAATCTATTCTTCGGCGCTCGGCCTTCCTTATAGTCCAACTCTCGCAGCCATACATGACTACTGGGAATACCATTGCTCTGACCATACGGACTTTTGTTGGCAGGGAGATGTCTCTACTTTTTATCATGCTGTTTAGGTTCGCCATCGCTTTCCTCCCAAGGAGCAGGCGTCTTTTAATTTCATGGCTGCTGTCACAGTCTGCGGTGATCTGGGATCCCAGGAACGTGAAGTCTGTCACCACTTCCACAACTTCCCCTTCTATTTGCCAAGGAGTGATGGGGCCGGATGCCATGATCTTAGTTTTTTTGATGTTGAGCTTCAAGCCCAGTTTTGTGCTCTCCTCTTTTACTCTGAGCAGGAGGCTCTTTAGGTCCTCTTCACTTTCTGCCATTAGAGTGGTATCGTCTGCATATCTGGGGTTGTTGATCTTTTCCCCAGCAATCTTAATTCCCGCTTGTGATTCATCCAGGCCAGCATTTCGCATGATGTACTCTGCATATATATTAAATAAGCAAGGTGACAATATACATCCTTGTCGTACTCCTTTTCCTATGCTGAACCAATCAGTTGTTCCATATCCGGTTCTAACTGTTGCTTCTTGGCCCTTATACAGGTTTCTCAAGAGACATGTGAGGTGGTCTGGTACTCCCATCTCTTTAAGGACCTGCCATAGTTTGTTGTGATCCACACAGTCCAAAGCTTTAGCATAGTCAATGAAGCAGAAGTAGATGTTTTTCTGGTACTCTCTTGCTTTCTCCATAATCCAGCGAATGTTGGCAATTTGATCTCTAGTTCCTCTACCTCTTCGAAACCCACTGTGTGGAATACTTTGTTATTAATTAGAGATGACATGCTGCATACTGCAAATTAAGGATGCCATACCTCCTCACGAATGGTAGTGGGGGCTTTTCCCTTGACTGCCAAGAAATCATCTGTAATAGCTTGGATCGTCAGTAGACATTGTTGTGCAACATAGTTACACAGTAGTGAACAGAATGTTCATGCTCTCAGTGGATTGGATTCAGCCACCTTTTCCACTCAGTCTTATCCAATTCATCCCACAGACCCCGTCTGACATGGCTCTGGAATATGCCGGTTGCATGATTTTCAACAGAGCCATTTTGGGTCGTCAAAGAGAACCCCTCGTTCCTTCTTCTCCCGCAGGAAAGCTTACTCTGGTTAATATGGCAAAGTAATGTGATTCATTTTGCAATGCGATATGCGAGGGCACATTTTTATGCAAGAAAAAGAGAGGATCACAAAGACAAAAAAGCAGATATTGGATAACTGCTCCAAACCCACAGCTATTCAGTAAAAAATTCAATTAAACTCCCTCCACTTTCTAGTTCAATGTATCTATAACAGGGATTCTGGTAGCTAATAAATACAAGGCATTTGTCCTAAAATTAGAGGATCTAGTAAAAGATGCCAAAGGAACAATCTACTGACTGTATCTGCATATATTTTGGGATACTAACTGCTGTCTCAGGATCAGATTCTGGAGGAGATTCCAGCCATAAAAGTGCTTCATCGGTATACTGTGTAATCCAATGTTTTCTCCAGCTCATTTGTGTGCTCTGGTAATAATATATAGTGCAATTCTAGACACTGAAGTCAAGGCACTTTTGAAGGGGTAACTGTGCTTAGTGCTGCCCTTTATGTTAGAAAATGCAAGAATGGAATTCTATGTCGCCTTCTGCATTGCTGATAGTTTCACTTTGTGGTATTTTCTGTTCCAGAAGAATTTAGTTAGCACTTTCCCCCAGCTACTAATTTCTTGAAAATCCTGCAGAAGTGGAAGAATTAATAATGAAACAAGAAGGCATAGCGGACATATTTGTAGCTGGGATTTCTATTATTCAAGACTGTTTTACATGATTGCTTCTTCTCAGATTTTCCTTACATGTAATAATGTACCTTAATTTAATCCAGCTACAGTTGCTAGATTCTGATCTAATTGTCCTCCCAGAAATACAGGGCTATTTTTGGGCAGGAACGCACAGGAACGGAGTTCCGGCTGGCTCCTGAGTTGGCCACACCCAGCAGGAACTCATTAGCATAATAGGCCACACCCAACAGCAGAAACTCATTAGGACTGGCTACATTAGGGGTGTGTGGCCTAACATGCAAATGAGTCCCTGCTACAAAAAAAAGGCCCTGGGTTTTGACCACAAACAAGGTAAACAGAATAAGAAGCAAAAGGTGGGTGTGGCTGGATGACCACACTTCTGGCAACACGGGGCTGCGGCCTAATATGCTAATGAGCTGTGGTGTCAGGGTGTGGCCTAATATGCTAATGAGTTTCGGCTGTTGGGTGTGGCCTATTATGCTAATGAGTTCCTGCTGGGCTTTTTCTACAAAAAAAGCCCTGCAGAAATATAACACTGCAATCCTTTCCAGAGTAAATGGGCTTAGACTAGAGCAAGACCATTTCCACAGTAGTGAAATCCCCCTCATTAACGTTTTTATATCTGCATGTTATGTGGGGTTTTTCCACAGTCGATTTTTCCTCACCAGGCACAAATCCAAAGTTTTCTCCTTCTTTCCCTGCATTTTTGGAATCCCGTTTTAGCGAGTTCTGAAAACGTGAGGAAAGAAGGAGAAAACTTCAGGTTTGCGCCTGGTGAGGAAAAATCTAATGCAGAAAATTTCATATAACATGCAGATTTAAAAACATCAATACGGGGAATTTCCCTATTGTAGAAATGATCTAACTCTATATGTTGTTGTTGTTGTTGTTCAGTTGCACAGTCGAGTCCGACTCTTTGCAACCCCATGGACCACATCACGCCAGGCCCTCTTGTCTTCCGTCGTGCTCCAGAGTCTGCTTAATTTCATGTTCATTGCGTCGATAACACTGTCTAACCATCTCATCCTTTGCCGTCCCCTTCTTCTTTGACCTTCCGTCTTTCCCAGCATCAGGGTCTTCTCCAGTGAGTGCTCCCTTCTCATTTGGTGGCCAAAGTATTTGAGCTTCTGCTTCAGTATCTGGCCTTCCAGGGAGCACTATATAGTTTGTACTATAACAGAACCAGAATAGGCCAGAGGTGGAGGGCTGCTAGCCAGCACTGTTGCCCCCCTGCCTGCTGTGCCCGGGTCTGTGCGACAAGCGGCAGTCCTGAGAGGCACCCCTGGGCCCCAGTGGACGGAGCCTGTTCCTTCCCTCCCTCCACTGGGAGAGATTTTCCTTTCTCTTCCCCATGGCACGGGGGCAAGGAGGGTGTGCAGCCGCTTCTTGCCTTGCTGCACCATGATGTGGTGTGAGGGGGAGCAAGGAGGGCAGGTGGTGGCTTCTCCTTTCTATGTGGTGGTGGTGGGGAGACAAGGCAGGCAGGCAAGGCTTTCTGTCCTTGCTGCTCCTCACCTCGCTGTGGTGAGGAAGGGCGAGGAGAGAGAATGGCAGCTTCTCATGTCACTTAGGTGGGGCACAGGGGAGCGAGGAGGAGAGTGAGTGGTGGGGACTAGGGTGCCCCAAACCCCGGGGCCAGCCTGACCTCACGATAATGTCAGCTCACACAGCGAATCGCCTCAGATGTCGCAGGGGATAGGGGACACAATAGCGACACAGGTTTGTGTGGAGGCGCCATGATGATCATAGCAACTACTCCTGCCCTGAATAGCAGACAGAGATGAAGGGACATATCCAGGGGTCATTTGGGGGGGACGCGGGGGGACGCCATCCCCCCGGGTGAGGTGTGGGAGGGTGGGGCCTGGAGCTCCCTGCTGGTGCCCGCTGGAGGTCGCCGCCGGCTGTGGGGAGGACACACTTCCGGTGATGTCAGGGGGTGTGGCATATGCTAATGAGTTATGCTAATGAGTCCCCCTAGCTCTTTTTCTACGAAATGACCCCTGGACATATCTACAGTGATGCTTTGCCTACCCGTGACCATACCAGTTAGGATCATTAGTCAGTCAGTATGTTTGACATTTGCTGTTTGACTTGGTAGCTTGGGAATAGCAAGTGGATTGTGTAAAAGCATGCAAATAGCATGTAAACAGGTTCTTAATACTGTCCCAATACCTCTGCAGGGCTCACTACAAAAGGCAAAACTTCCATAAACTTTGTCAAGTAGATATATGTCTGTGTTATGTATTGGGACTGAATCATTCCGGGTACGTTACACCAGAGACTGGCTGAGCTTGGAGCACAAGAACAATAGCCTACCAGGACTCTGGAATTAACCAGTCAAGTAGTAATGTTGTGTCAATAGCCTATCATTGGGAGTGGGGTGTGTTTGGGTGTGGCAATTGCATGCTATTGAACAGAGCTGAGGCTCTGGGGTCTTGTCTTGCTCTTGCCGAAATCACCAATAAAGTTGAGCTGATCACTAGACTTGAGCCTGCTCATCCATGGAACCCACTATTTAACAGTCTGACTCTGCCAATTGATGTGTATAGGATCATTTCCCTTACTGGAAGTATACTGGCAGAATCATGGATGCTGGGATGTTTTTTTAAAAGCCTCGCCCTATATTTATTGCATCTCTCTTTGGTGCTGTGTCTGTATATATTTTATTGTTTAAGCATAATGCTATGCAGTGTTCCCTCTAAGCT